TTTGGGAAAGAGGGCTCTTTTACGATCAACCTCTTGATAACATCTTCATTAATCATTATAAATCATTTTTTTCTAATAATCGGTCTTTTATGTTATATATTTACTATTCTATAATATCTTTTTATCTATTAACTAGTATCTATAAAAGTGCGCTGCACCTTACTAATGACACATGGTGGTTTAAATCTTTATTTATATGAAAGAAAAAAAATTAATTAATGAGAAAAATATTATTACATTTACATAATACGTGAATTCAAAATGAAAAGATGTCATCAAAACTTACACAATTCATGCCTCTTGATATGACATTTACGAGTAATGACATAGGAATATTATTTCAATTCCGCCAGAGACATCTACAAAGGATAATCCCGCTAGACCATAGTTGACTCTTTATAGTATAGTCTTGAAAGCTTGCTCTTGTTCAGAATTTAGCTTTGATTGTGCTTCATCGGACACTTGTATGACCTGCCTTCTTAATACTATATTAATCTTTATTTACTTTGTGATCTAATTTCTTTTAATCTCTACCGCTCTTTTTATAGAATAAATTTATATAATCATCAATGGTATTGAATCTTACCAACCTTTTTCTTTCTTTTTCTCACACATTTATATTCTTAAAACAATTCTTAATTGTTCTTTAATAATTAAGAAATAATAATTACTTTATAATTTTTCTCATTAAATTTGTTATCTTCTAAAAATTGAATCACAAAAAGAATTCTTTTACATCTTTTTCGTGAAACTAATATTTAGGAGGAAATTACAAAAAATACGATCAAGACAAAAGTAATGTTTATCTAGCACATGAAATTTTTGAAGGATAAATTTAATTCACATAGGGTTATACAGTGATATCTTATTACTTTACTTTATGTAAGTGGCTATTCTTATAAATTTGTGATCTTTGGTTCCAGCGTTGCCGTAGAAATACATATGTGACTACATATAGTTTTGGCTTTAAATTATACAGCAACAAAGAAGAGTTTTGGCTTTAAATTAGTAAAGTATTCCCTTTTTTCTCGCAGTTTTATTAACTTCATAGTTAATTACAATTTTATCTTAAATAAAGTTATTAAATTGCTCAATATTTTAAGGTTATTTTGATAAACTGACATTGTATTCATGCTTTTATAATAATATAGATATAGATATAGATAGATAGATATAGATAGTATGCTCATATAAATTTTCTAAAATTATCAACAATAAGCCTAAAAATTTTGACCAAATATTTTAAAACTTTAATGCACCACATATGATAAAGAATATTATGTTACTTCCAGAATTAAAGATTTGATTCAATTTTATTAAAAGATATCCTTGTATATTTTTATTTCATTGCACAAAAGTTGAAATCTTTGTCATTTAGTTATGACTTTATTAATCATGTATTGGTTTTTTCTAATATTTAATTAATAAAATATGCATATTTTTGAGATTTTAAATTAAAATAATATTTTTATGTTTTATATGTAAAATTAAAAAAGAAAAAAAAGTTCTTGTTGGATAAATTTTTTTATAACAGCCAAATATATCTAAACTTTGAATGTTATTATAGGTGTATAACAACTATTTACTATAAAAGCAAAAAAAATATCAAAACAAATAATGATGTTATAAAGATATTTGAGTGTACTTGGGTTTTATTTTCTCTGTTTTGCTTTATTTTCTAGTACTACAACAATTTTCCAGATTCAGTGGGGTTTTTTTTTTTTAACAATTTTTTTTTTTTCTAATTCCAGGAGGGGACGGAGGGGACGGGTTCGAGCCGTGGAAACAGTCTCTTGCAGGAATGTAAGGTAAAACTGCATACAATAAATTTTCGTGGTCCCCTTTCTCGGATTCCACTCATAACGGGAGCTTAGTGCACCGAATTGCTCTTAATACGTCGGATTGGGATCAAGGAAAGGAAAATAGACAGTGAAAATTGAAATCACATGATCCCCACCCAAATCACTACTCTGTAGGTCTTGGTAGGGATTTTTTTGTTTTGGTTTTTGGGTAGTACCACGATTAACATAAAAAAGAAAAATAATAAAAATAAAATATAAAAAAGACCAATATGGTAAAATAAGCTGGTTAAAATATTGCTTTCAAGATTATGCCCATTATTTCTTTTTCCTTCCAGATTTATTGTATCTTTGAAGTTCAATTAATTTGCACATTCATATATTAAAACAAAATTCAATTATTTTATCCAGCTAGAAAATTTCCAAGATCTATCTTATTATTAATCAAATGTTGGTCATGATATATTAGCACAAATCATGGTCATCATTAAAATTGAGAACATTACAATTTACAACTTACAAGAATGAGAAGCTAAACTCATTCACATAGTTGATCAAGATGTAATGATTCAAAATGTTGTGTTACGTTTTGGGTGCATAGTTCCCAATTAATCATTTGCAAAAGCAGCATATATAGGTAGGCGGATAATTCACTACTTTATTCCATGGTTCAAATTAGAACGTACGTCCCCAGCTCAATCAGCATTGATAATGTTAATTGTGTGACTGTGGAATTAAAATACAAAATGTTATGGAACTGCCACTTTTTGCAAATGAAATTTTTGTCTTTGGTCCCGAAATGAGGTTATTTGTAAAACCTTTAGCCGTCACCTATACCCTACAATACAAACTAAATTCTTAGTCGCCAACCATAAAAGGAAAAAATAAACTTCTTTGACAATGGTATCAACAACAACAACAACAACAACCCAGTGTAATCCCACAAGTGGGGTCTGGGGAGGGTAATATGTACGCAGACCTTACCTCTACCCCGAGGGGCAGAGAGGCTGTTTCCAGGAGACCCTCGGCTCAAAGAGGCAACAAGAGACACTATATTAGTACTATCAATAGACTCATAATAAAACAACATAAAGTACCATAAAATCCATAACATAACATAAATACCATAAAAACAAAGTAACAACAATATAAGAGATATAGGAAATACGAGAAAGATGTAAGGTATTAATACACAGGAGATAAAGCCCATCATCAGTAGTTGATCAATAGCATCCTAAGACTACTTCCTAACTGGCTAGTCTCACTCTAGTGCGCTGTAACAAAGACATCACAATTTCCCTAACCTACCACCTTAATGCTCGATCTCCACAATTCCCTGTTTAGGGCCGTGTCCTCAGTAACCCTAAGTCGCGTCATATCCTGCCTGATCACCTCTCCCCAATACTTCTTAGGTCTCCCCCTACCTCTCCTCGTACCCACCACTGCCAGTCGTTCACACCTTCTCACCGGTGCATCAGTGTTCCTCCTCTGAATGTGCCCGAACCATCTGAGTCTTGCTTCCCGCATCTTGTCCTCCATGGGGGCCACACCCACCTTCTCTCGAATATCTTCATTTCTAATCTTATCCTTCCTTGTATGCCCGCACATCCACCTCAACATCCTCATCTCTGCAACTTTCATCCTCTGGATGTGTGAGATCTTCACCGGCCAACACTCGGTCCCATACAACATAGCAGGCCTAACCACTGCCCTATAAAATTTACCTTTCAGTAACAGTGGCACTTTCTTGTCACACAGGACTCCCGTCGCTAACCTCCATTTCATCCACCCCACCCCTATACGGTGTGTGACATCCTCGTCGATCTCCCCGGACCCCTGAATAAACGACCCCAGGTACTTGAAACTACCCCTCTTAGGGATGACTTGAGAATCAAGCCTCACTTCCACTCCCGCTTCCGTCGGCTCTGCCCCAAATTTGCACTCAAGGTATTCCGTCTTCGTCCTGCTCAACCTGAAACCTTTGGACTCAAGGGTGTGTCTCCAAACCTCTAACCTCTCGCTGACGCCGCGTCGTGTCTCGTCGATTAGAACTATGTCATCAGCAAATAGCATGCACCATGGCACCTCCCCCTGAATATGATGTGTTATAGCATCCATCACCAGGGCAAATAGGAAAGGGCTGAACGCAGACCCTTGATGCAATCCTGTAATAATCGGAAAATAATCTGAATCGCCTCCTGCTGTCCTAACCCGAGTCTTAGCTCCATCATACATGTCCTTAATCGCCCTAATGTAGGCAATCGGGACCCCTTTAGCCTCTAAGCATCTCCATAAGACCTCCCTAGGAACCTTGTCGTACGCTTTCTCTAGATCGATAAACACCATGTGGAGATCCTTCTTCTTATCCCTGTATTGTTCCATCGTCCTCCTAATAAGGTGGATAGCTTCTGTGGTAGATCGCCCCGGCATGAACCCGAACTGGTTGTCTGAAATAGACACCGTCCTTCGCACTCTCATTTCTACCACTCTCTCCCAGACTTTCATGGTATGACTTAGTAATTTAATACCCCTATAGTTGTTACAGATCTGGATATCGCCTTTGTTCTTATACAACGGGACCATAGTACTCCACCTCCACTCTTCGGGCATCCTATTAGTCTTGGATATCACATTAAGCAACTTAATAAGCCATTCCACGCCTGCTCTACCCACACACCTCCAAAGCTCAACCGGAATTTCATCTGGTCCGGTAGCTCTGCCCCTTCTCATCTTACGCATTGCCTCCATGACCTCATCGACCTCAATGTCCCGATAATCACTTAGTTCATGGGGGCTGTCGGCGTACTTTGACAATGGTATCATTTGACTAAATTCCTTAAATAAAGCCAATGAAAGTAAAGAAATGATTAATTCCATTGACACTGCAAGTCTGAATTCCGCACCGAATGAGTGAGACTCTAGGAACTGTTAGAGAAAAAAATGTCAAAAAAAGTAAGAGGAAAAATTTTCAACAATGTTTTGTTACAACTGCCGCCAACTCTAATCACTCTCATTGAAATCAACTTCATATCCCAATGTATATTATCATATAAGCATAATATTTTAATATAGTATATA